AAAGTATAATATGAATAGTAGTTCATGAAATTGTTACAATGTTACACAAAACCTCTTCATTTGACCATGTACCGTAATATACGATATTTGAAACTTTGATTATCGTTTGTTTATTTTTTTGTTTCTTAATCATACACTATCCATCTATTCACTTACAAATTATAGTTTCAAGTAGATAAATTATTGATAAATATGCTTGTGTATATCATTTAAATGGGAAAATTGAAAATCAAAATTTTCTTCAGAAATCGTTCTTATCTCTTCTACAAAAAGGTTACTATCTTTAAATTCTTACAGTTCCGATAATTGTCTTTACGTTAAATGTTATTTTGGTAAATAATAGATATCGGTATCGATTTTTGTTTTTATGAATATTTCAGCATGCGAGACTGAAGGTCCTGAGTTCGAATCCCACAAGCTGGATCATAGATTCTCACTGCTGAGGAGCCCCATAATGGGACGAAACGACCATCCAGTGCTTCTAGGTTTTCAATGATGGTCTAAAATCAATCGACTCATGATCTCAATCAAAAAATATATTTCAACACCATTAAATTTCTCATCTAATCATGACCGTTTCTTTATTATCAGTATATTTAAGTATCATAATGATTATGGTCGTTATAATACATGCTCAAACAAATACTTCAACTGTTTATGATGGTTGTATTACATGTATACATAGATTTACACTATTCAAATAATAAAAATGAGGAATGAAGAATAATATGGTATTCTTGATTCTATAGTATTCAACCTATTCATAATTAAAATGAATAGATGCATCAATTGCTGTTAACATAACGAGCAATATAATAATCATTTCTTGAATGTATTTATGAAATCAATCCAATGACTGTCCTTTTAAATATTTTAAAAAATTATACTTTTGAAGTGATGAATGTAAATTTATACCTGATGTTTGAATTTGGAAGTATTAACAAATTAGAGGGAAGAATAAATTCAAACTTGGAAAAATTGTTGCACATGAATATTATTGATAAAAAGGAATTTAATTTCTTAAAATCCTATGAGTTCTGTGTATCCTCATTTATATGGACTACCTAAAAGTCTTCTTATTACACTATTGGAAGATACTTTTGAAGGTCTATGAAATATACATGATAACTGTTTCAATAATCTTTATTTTTGTTGGGATGATCCAGAAAATTTCTTGCAATAGACATGACAAGCTCAGGAAACATTAAGAAGCATTTTATCCAATCAGCGTTTGACTAGAAGTTTTTCTGGAAACATCACAAAAGAGAAAAGTCACATGTAGAGTTTATGATTGACTGGTTACTACACTGCTACTATGTTTAGTAGTATTCCAGAATTTTCAGGAAAACCCTTCTAAAACACTATAAAAACCCTATATTTTCTGTAAATGAATGAAGCTTGGGAGTAAAGTGCTTCTCGTATATTTTGCGATTTTTCTTTCGTGTTCAAGAAGCTGTGTAGTTCTCACTTGGGGTTTACGAGACTAGCTTAGGATCCGAGTATAGCGTTCAATCAGCAAGACTTATCAACTTTAAAATTGTGAAACTGTAAAATTATATATTATTATATTACTTTATTTAAATAAAATCAATAAGAAGAGTTATAACAATATTATATAGTTGAGATCATGAGTCAATTGAAGCTAGACCACCACGGAAAACCTGAAAGCATTGGACGGCCGTTTCGTCCGCTTGCGCGCGAGATCGATAGGTCCTGTGTTCGAATCTCACGAGGCGGGATTGTGGATGTGCAATACTGAGGAGTCCCACAGTAGGACGAAACGGCCGTCCAGTCCTTCCAGGTTTTCCATTGTGGTCTAGCTTCAATTGACTCATGATTTCAACTATGAAAATACTGAAATCTCCACAAAACCCCCTTCTTATAACTATGTGTTAATAAGAGTTTAAACCCAGTTTGCTGGGTAGATTTTAACTAAATACATTGTTTTTGTATAACTATACCGTTTCATAACTCATTTTTAAGATATTTGAATCCTTCAAAATCCCCTGAAATTATGATTTTGTCAATGAGCCTTGAGTTTATTGTTTATTTTTCAACTTATTTTACTGTCAGAAATTCAAGAAAATGGAGAATTAAAATACAATATAAATCCCTTAATGAAGAATTCAACTGAATAAGATCTCAAAGAGAACTAGTAAAGTGTTCGGTTTAATTCACTAAAGGAAGCAATAATATGAATAGGAAAATGGTTTTCACGCTATATGTACGTTTATAGATTTTAATGAGAATAGTATTTCCTCTAAAATAAAAAAATCTAAAGTTGACATAAGGGAAATGATGAAATAGTATGAGTATCTGTGATTTTATAGCGCACATATTTTTCTATGTACAATATATGAGTCCAGTACTAAACATTTTTGTTCATTTAGTGGGTGGTTGTTGAATATTAGAAAGTAATTTTCTTTAAGGATTTTAGTTCAAGTTCTAACTCCACGTTATTTTCCTCTTCATTCGACAATTTGGGAAGTACTACAGTGGTGTGTTCATGATAACTATGTGTAAATAAAATTCACTTGGTATTCATTGTTTGAATCTTCCCATTGATACTTGGGACTGCGACTGGTCAGTCTCTAATTGACATATGTGCATACTGTGTGTGTTGTCTCGATGCAGCTTCATTTCACAAGCATTGTAAGCAATGATGAATAGTGGTTAGCAGTGGAATCCAGTTTGACTCGCGTTTCGTCCTATTTGGGATTCGTCAGCTGGATGTACCTACATCTCAGAGTTGATGTTCATTCCGTGGCTCGAACCTAATACCGTTCGTTTCATATAATCATTTATTTGACCTCATAAACTCAAATATGATAATGAACTAATTTTGTAAAAGTTGATAATTAGAATATAGTCTTAAAGAAATTGGTGCTAATATGAATGAAGAATATTCTTTTTAATAATTTCTCATCACGTTCTACAATTATAAATCCAAATTAATAACCCATAAAAAATTGAATAAGTTTAAGGCAGAGTACATCATTTAAAACTGTAACATATGAATCAAGGATTGTTTGTCATATCAAATCAAATTGGTAATTTTGGGGTTGACTAATATGAAGTGTTAACTTGAATCAGTTTATACCTGAGATGAAATTGTGAGATAAATGATTAGAACAAATATGGTCAACATGGGGTAAAAGAGATAATCATGTAATTACAAATCTACTATATCTGACCTAATTCATATGATTCTATATATTACGTAATTTCCGATTTGTAATTCCATTATTCTCTCTCACCCAATGTCAACTATATTTGTTCTGATCATTTATCTCACAATTTCGTTTTACTTATAAACTGATTCAGGTTAACACTTCATATTAATCATCCCGACATTGACGATTTGATTTTATTTTATATCACAAACACTCCTTGATTCATATATTACAGTTTCTTAAATTGATGTACTCCGACTTAAACTTGACCAATTTTCTTTTGTGGATTATTAATTTGGGTTTATAATTGTAGAACCTGATGAGAAATTATTGAAAAGAATATTCTTCTTCTTTCATATAATTGTGTTTTAATATAATGAGAGTTTTTCAGCGGTTAATATAATTACAAAATATAATTTCAATGGATTTTCTTTTTCTTAATCAAAATATGTAGGCTATTCAATGATAACCATGTTGTACTGTTATAGGGGAAATGAAATATTAAATTACAAGTATAATCTTTATTTCATGTTAATAAATTATTAGTTCACTTGTGTAACTATGATATAATTGACTAAAATGAGACTGAAATTATCTATTTGTAAGTGTTTGAACCATCCCAACTATGATATCATGGACTGAATTGTGATGTTATTTTTTGACATGTATGTATTCTGAACAGATTACTTCGATATTGCTGTTACACCACAAGTGTTTAAGTTTATATGCATAGTGATTAGTAATGAGATTCAGGACTCACGTTTCGCCGTAGTTGGGACTAGTCGGCTAAACGTGCTCGTGTAATTGCATCGTTATTCATATCGGGACTTCAACTCGTTACACTACCTAGTTACTACCTGGATTAAGCTAAGTGGATCACGCGATAGGCGTCCCAACTGTAAGGTATTAGTTCAAGTTTCAAAGTAAATATCAACATTGGAATGTAGGTGAATCCACCTGATGAGTAGCAAATAAAATGAAAAGCGTACCTTGGATGCTAATGACAACCATTATTCATGTTTAAAGTTTTGTTTAGTGATTTATGGCAACCAGTTTAGTTTCTATAATGTAGTGTGATGAACTAAACTTAATTTCAGTTTCATAATAAAGTAATTTAATTATTCAAGTATGTACGCAATAATACTGAATGATGATTAATTTACAAATCTTTTAAAAAAGGTTCTATAGAAATAAAGTGAGTGAATCAAGTTAAAGATATCGTTTATTTATGATAATAAAAACAAATAGATTACTTTGATATACTTTCATCATTTGATACTAAACAAAACTTAAAACCATAATATAGTAAGTAGAGATGGATGGTAGCTAGCAATGGAATCCAGAACTTATGTTGTGTCCTATTTAGGACTCGTTGGCTGGATGTATCTGCATCCCAGAGTTGATGTTCATTCCGGGGCTCGAACCTAATACCGTTCGTTTCAAACGCCATCACATTGTCCACTTATGTACTGAGTCCAGAAATGGGGGAAGTTCGCCTCAATTTCGTATTGGGTTTTCTGGTCTTACCGTTGACGCAGGCACATCTAGCTGACGAGTACCACATGGGACGAAACGCGCGTTCTGGATTCCATTGTTAGTCACCATCCATCTCTGATTATAATGCTTTTGAATTAAGGCGATATCGAGGCAATCTGCATAGGATGTACATATACCAATAAGAGAATGATCAACTGCAGTTCTAAATTTTAATCAAAAGACTCAAACAACCATTACAAATATGAACTACTGACAATCGTTATTCACCGAAAGAAGTAATATTAGCAGATTTCAAAAATAAAATGTTTTACATATAATACTTGGACCTACTTTTCCTTTCAATGTGCATAATGCTTCTTTCCAAAACTTCTTCTTTTTTTGATTTTCAACTGGAAGTTCTATCTTACCAGTGGCCATCTAGAAAAATTTAAAATTAAAAAAAGGTAAGCTTGTTAGAGAGTAATGAAGAATAGAAATATTGTAGCGAAAAATATCGGTTAATCTTGTTCCGGACCGTAGAACTAATACATAAATCATTTGAAAAACTATTTTTCATGTATAGGACAAAGATATAGTTAGCACATCTTGAAATTTAACGCATTAATACACATGTATCATGAAAGAATGCGTTATGTCAACTTGTCCAAGTGAGTTATATATAATAGAAACGGTCTGATTTGTATAAGAACATACATTGTAACAAAAACAGCGGGTGGTTTAGTTGGAAAATGAATTCTTTATAATCGTGGAGTTTGTAATTTTTTTACTGTCACGACTTAGTTGCAAATCGACTAATTTAAAGTGCAAGATACTATTTATGCTTCTTATCCAGTAAATAGTCGTCAAAAGTAACTACCATTCAAAAACTTGAAACGTATGTCTTGTTCGTTTCCATACTTTAAATCAAAATGACCGACTTTTTAGTGGAAGTCATTTATTTTCTACTTTGATTATGCGTAATTTCTAAGTATATTACCTGGTGAGTAAGACATAGAAGCAGTAGTAAGACTTAGTAAACTTTACTGAATGTTTGATGATGCAAACCGATAGGGATTTTAACTAACCGGCGAGTTTTCTATGCTTACGAGCACATTTCATCAACTACCAATCTACTAAGGCTCAAAACACTTCCAAGATAGGTAAAGAAACAAATGAGCCAAACTGTATCACTCCTTATATTTAAACAGCTCACTATTCTAAGCAAATCCTAGACAATTTCGAGAGAAAGAAACCCATCATAAACATTTGTGTAGTGTTAATGAAGATTGAAGACGACTACATTTCATCAACTTTTTCTCCATGATGGAAAATATACCCTGCCAATGAGAAAATTCTTAGTTACATATGATAATTTTTGTCTGTGTGAACTTTCAGTTTAAACTATGACGAACAGTTTTGTGTGCTTGTTCGTCTACAGGCCACTGTATTTATTTCGATTATCAGTCAAGGATATATGCTTCAACAAGGTCTCTCTATGGACTGGGTTGAATCCTGGTATCACGTTAAGAAATATGGCTGCAGACAGATATCTATAACTTTGATTGTGTTTTAAGCCCCGTTTATTGGTGGATATCTGGTCAGTATCAAGTTGAGAATGGACGTCAGATGATTAAGAAAGTCATGTTCTTAGGAAAATTATCCAGTGGAGTTATTCCTCTACGTTTTTGTAAAACACTGATTTCCTGTTTATTCTCATTAAAGTTGTAGGAATAAACAGTCCTAACTATCCGAAAGAAATAACATTTGGCTCAAAGTCTTTATCTCCTTTAATTTAATAAGTGGTACTGTACCATTGTTCTTAGGAATCTCTAAACTTAAGTCATCAAATCTACTAATTACCAAACTTCAAGGTAATTGCAGCTTTTCAATATTATTTGAATATTTGCCGCTTGGTTATCGGTCAGTAATGGATGTAAAATTTATTACTTCAATTTCTGAGCTTCCTTTTAAGACCTTCAGTACAGTGTATGTTGGAGAAACCAGTCAATGAAAATTAGCTACCATAATGATCAAATGATTTTTTAAATCAGAATTTGTGGTTAACCAGAAACTTATCAACAATAATAGGTCAATACAGGTCTTCTTTAATTGTGTAGTTCTCTGATATTCAAAATATTTTGGTTTACAAGTAAATTAACACTATAAATGCCTAAAAAATCAGATAAATGTTATCGCCAGGGAAGTCCTACTTAGTGTCTTCTCATGGCAGGGGTGTTGCTTACAAAATTGAGAGGACGAAAAGCGAATGTCTGGCGCTTTAACCAGGTTGATCGACACGCAAAGTCCACTTAGAAGAGTTGGAAAACCCTGATTCTAAACCAGTGGTGCACATGGGTTCAAGTATCCTGAGGGAATAAATGGCGTATGAATCAATCGTTGGTCACCGGCTACCATGGGACTGCATCTCCTCACGATGCTCCACTGCCTTATGGATCAGACCTTTAGGTCAAAGACTGCGGGTGTAGCCCCCTAAGAAAACCACCTGCTTTAGTTTGAGCATCTGGGAGTATCACAGCCCTCATACAAATCAAATGAGATTTGTGCGGCGCACATATATCTGGTGTCCCCCGTTGTACCAATATTTATGTGTTTAAATAAATAAATCAATATTGTAAGCAATGTATATGTTTAATCAGTTAGCTTAAATCGATAAAAATATTAGAAACCATCTTTTAAGAAACTTTTATCACCTAAACTCCTTCAACAACAATATCTTATTATTTTAACTTAATAACTAATACCTTCTACTCAAACGGAATGTAGAAAGTGAAGATGAACATAAATAAATAAACCATTAAGTGATACAATAATCAATAATGATTTTCCTTATTATACTTTGTCTTTATTCTGTGAAAAGGTTATATGAAGTTGTTTTTTTCAGTTAGTGTTACAGTGGAAAAAATAATACCTACATTGATTATAATCAATCACTACTTATGGTGTGCATCAATGATAATGTAAACTGATTATCTAAGACTATATATATACACATGAACACTATAGAAAATTTAATAATTTCTGTTGTGAAATAGTCAAAATTAGTGTAAATTTAAACATATTAATTGTTTGAATATGCATTCATATATTATTCTCTATTCTCATTTGGGTATCACAATAGTAAAAAGTATGTTTTGTCACTACTACTACTACCACTACTACTGTGTTGTGGTCTACTTATATCTATATAAGTAGTATATGGTTATGGTTAGACATAGAATGTATTTTGGCAGAAGACCGATAAGGAAAGAACTGAAATGAAACGCGATTGGCAGGAAAATGTACAAACAATGAAACTAGAAAAGATGGTTTGATATTTACAGAAGGAACAGTGAAGATTGAGACAATTGGTTGTTATTTCGCATATTAACTGTTTGCTGTATGGTTATCAGAATCTGGTGGGATAGTCTGTAATTTGTGTTTAAATACATTCGATTGTCCCACCAGTGTTTTGTTCACTACACTAATACTAATACGAAAAACAGTAGCTATGACCAAATTCATTGACTTGTTATTTCCTGTAAAGTATACTGCATTTTATATGTTCTTTTCTCGGTAATGAAAGGATTTATATTGTAAAATAATTATAAATTTTTACAGTATACTATTAACAACTAGGCATTAGTTGCGTATTAAATACATGTGGCTATAATATCCATGAATACAGAAATTTAGAACTTCTTGATGAGAGATAGATTTTCGTGTGTAACTGAATAATTTTATTAGTATGGGGTTATGGAGATTAGGTTTTCGATCGATGTTAGATCATCATTGAAAACCTGAACTCACAGAAAGGCCGTTTAGTCCTAGTATGGGACTCCTCAGCAGAGAACATTCACGATTCCACATGGGGGATTTGAACCCAGGAACTTCGATCTCGCGCAACTCATATGCTCAATAGTGACTAGCTTCATGAGGGGACTCCTGGAGTCCTAGTGAGAGGCCGTGACCAGTAAAGCATGTACGTATCAGGTAGAGACAGGTATCTACATCTGACAATGAAGATGGTCGCGCGATTTCGTGGATTGGTTAAAGTTAGACATGAACACCGTTGGATGCCTGCTCAGTGGTCTAAGGGGTAGGCGTTTCGCATGTGACGGAAGGTCCTGGGTTAGGGTTCCGCATGCGGGGTCGTGAGTAATTTTAGACATCGATCATTTTCAAGTATCATTTATGGCAACGGAAGTCATTTGACAGGTTATTATATTCACACTTTGTCGAATCTCTACGAAAGTAATCCTTCAACTTTAGTAATCGAATCAGAAAGCTGTTAGAAATTTACACTGAACATCTTTATATTGCTGAAAATCAGTTATAAAATGAACCTTAATGTTTGTTTTATAGAAATTATTTCAAAGAATACTTATGTATTCTAAATGAAAATGGTAAAAGTGAAGTTTACGTACTTATAACAGTAAAAATGAATACGTATTATCATAGTGGAAGAATGAGATTAAGACATAAAAAGTGTTGTACATAAAAATAATATGTGATAGAAGATTCTGTTTGATCTGGGAAAGTAACAAGAGATCATAGAGTTGAAATAAATAATTGATTGTGTAATATAGGAGTTGAAAACATTAGTTGAAATCAGTCAGTTGGAAGTGGAATTATGAATCTAAATAACGTGCCGAAATTAAAATAAGAGAGAGAAAATTCTGAGAACGTTGTAATAAAATGACGATAAAGTCACCATGGTATAGTCAAGTTGGAAGTGAGTTTGTAATTTGCTTTCACTGAATTAAATAAATTCATCTGTATGCCTAATAAACGGATAATCTTTAACAACTAGGTTCAATCATAAATAATATTTTGTTTTCTTCAACAATCAACATGGGCTTAACAAATATTTAAAAATCTGACTGTGTACTATGTTTTAAATGTATATTTTTTTCGAAATAATGAATCACTATTAAAGAAGTACCAAATAATTCGTAAATATGGGGCATGTTTAGGGAGATATTGTTCATACTAAGAAAGTTGTCAAGTCGAAATATAACTGATAATAATTTTCATTGTGTAGCTATTCTAAAGTTATTGCCAGTGACCAAACAGGATAAAAAATGAGGGTTGGGCATGGGGTCAGCAACCCAATCCTGTAGAAGACAAGATTATAGAAAAACAGATAAACAGAAAAAAAATAATTAGGCCATTTGAACTCTGCCCTGCGAAGGGAGGATCTTCATTTCGGAAGTCAAGAGGCTGATGCCTCGTCTAACAAAATAGGAACATGGAATATGCGGACAATGTGCGAGACCGGGTGGGCCAAACAAACGGTTGTGGAAACGAAATGATATAACTTGGAGGTTCTCGGGAAAATGAAACCCATTTCAATCGAGTTAGACAAAAAAGGTTAGATTAGGAAGAGATGCTGCCGTACATTGGTTATCAAAAAGATGCATTCCTTCCTCTTTCTCCCG